GGGTGGGACGAGGGGGCGGGAATGGCGTCTGGCTCAGGGGGCAGGGCAGCAGCAGGCTGTGGGGCCGAGGTGTGGAGGGGGCCCAGCGAACGGTGCGCGCAGGGACCGCGGTATGCTTGCACTTACTTTTGTGCACACGGTCATCGTGACCGTGACACCTGGGAAGCCGCGGCAGGGCGGGGCCCCCGCCTTGCCGCGTTGCCACCCTTTGCGGCCCCGCCCCTGCCGGCCGCCGGCGCCTCACCAGTTGAAGAGGGCGCCGTTGGAGCCCAGCGCCGCCAGGGGTGCGGTGCCTATCCGGCCCACCATGGCGGTGTCAACCTGGGGAGGCGGGGGTGGCAGCAGCAAAAGGAGGCGCGGGCTGTAAGGTCCTCAGCCACCCACCCCCAGCCCCAGCAACCCAGCCGGCAGCAGAGAGCCCTGCTGCCCCTGCCTGGCTTATGAGCAGCACATCGCCCCCATCCCTCTCCACATCCCGCTTGACAACAAGTGCGCCTCTGCAACACGCATGCGGACGCTTCACTGTCTGCGCCGACTTGAATACACAGAGGCACTGCGGCGGCGCCTGCTGCCCAGTGCCTGTGCCGTCTCGCCGCAGCCAGCCATCCAGGAGTACCCCCGGCCGTGCAGCCGGGCCGCACCAGTGACATCAGCGGGTCCGCCATCGACGCGCCAGCCACCGCGAGCGCGTTGAGCGCCACCTCCCTGTCGAGGCGCGTCGGCTGCAGCCAGGCCGCCCACGAGGACGCGACGCCGCTGAGGTCGACGCCCGCTGACATGCCGCCATGGCCGCCGCCGCTCAGCCCATTGCCCGCACCGCTGCGCACGGCGCGAGCGCCCCGAGGTGGCGGGCTGCGGCTGCGGCTGGCGCGCACGTCGCGGGTGGCGCTGGGGGAGGGGTGGCGCTGGCGGGGCGAGGGGTATCGGCGGATCAGGGGGTCGCTGGCCCCCAGGATTGACGAGTCCGAGGTGCGTGCGTCGTCCACGCTGCGCGCTATGCTGAGCACCGTGTGTGTCGTGACGGTTGCCGCTGCTCCGCCGCCAGCCCCGTCAGCCATCACTGGAAATCGGCGGCGCGGCCGATGTGAGGGCGGTGCTGATGATGCTCGCGCTGCAAGCTCCGCCTCTCGGGGCTTGGCCCCGTGCTGCGGATTGCCGAGGGGTTCAATATGGATGCTGGAAGCTGTGCATGGTCGTCTGATTATCCGTGCTCAACACTAACAGGGCAACGATCGCGCCACAAGCTGTTGGCACGAGGCCATCACCACCGCGGTCAAGCGTCTGTGCGCACTCGGATCTATATACGATGTTTCATGCCCAAGATATCACGACCACGGCTGGGCTGATGCCCGATGATGCCCAAAGAGCAAACGCAAGATCGACGTTGTGTGTTTGAGCAATCAAGGGCATGACGAACGTTGGATATGAGTCAGGGTTCCGGTATGCAGTGACAGCGGCGTAGAGGCTGAGGCTGCGGCCTGGTGTGTTCGTTCAAGGGTGTCACTTGATGGACGGGTGACATGCGGCCTCCTCGTGCCTGGTCGTTTTGCTGCTGCCCGGAACATTTGTAGGTCTTTGCAGTGCGTATCCGGATGTCAAGACACCATCCGAATCACTGTGTATCATGTGCAAAGCTGTGTGCTGTGCAGCGGAACGGAACACGCACATTGAAGGTGCTGCACAGTGTGCAGCTGGACGAACGGCGCCGTCTATCCACACACTTCTTTCAACAGCAAGGCAGGGAACAGTCCGACATGTTTGCCAGACTGAACACCTGTCTTGTAAGTGAAGTTGTGGTGCACACATGCAGTAGCGCGTCGGATTTCGAGTGGCCGCCGACGCCTGTAACCTCCAGACACATGGAAGGCTGTAATAGCATGCGGTGGGGCAGAACCCCAGCTGTAACTCCCTTGGCATTGGTTAGATACAAGTAATGTTGAATTAGCTTCCAGACGACTGATTTTTCAAGGTCACAGGAAACACAGACCGTTGGGATAGCGAGTGTGATTCTAATCTGCACCAGCAAACCCAACTGCTTCCCGCAAGACCGCCCTCAGCAGCCCCTCCAGGGAGCCCGCAGTTGAGCTGCCATCACCACCACCGCACTCCGTGCTGCCATGGACCCCGGCGCTCAAGCCCATGCCTGTTGCGAGGGCCTCACCACGGGCTGCCCTGGCCGCGGTCGTCCCCTGCACCGCCAGCAACACCACCCGCCAGCCACAGTCCTTCAGCAGCGCTCGCCGCCGCTTGGCGGTGCCGGAAAGCTGCCGCTGCTTTGGCTGCCAGAGCGGCAAAGCACTGGCACCCGTGCTTGGGGCCGCGTCATCTGGACCCACAAGCTGGATCGCCACGCAGTCGCGCTGGGGGAACAAAGGTGACCGGGCCATCCTGTCCTGCGCATGCACGTCACGCTCAGCTTCCACTGGGTCGGATGCGCGGCTTCTACTGCTGCCGCTGCCGCCCTCGCTGCCGCTGCTGCTGCCGCTCTCGCTGCCGCCGCCACCGCCGCCGCCGTCGCCGTCGCCGCTGCTGATGCTGATGTCACCGCTGCTGCCGTCGCCGCGTCCGCCCCTGTCCTCAGCGCGCCGCAGCCCTGGCAAGAGGCGCCCCGAGCCGCCATCGAAAACGCGAACCACCAGGTCTAGGGGCAGCCCCCCCTCGCAGCACACCCAGCGCACGGCGTGAGGCAGGCCCAGCCGCCGCAGCGCGGCCGATGCGGCGGCGGCCTGCGGCGCGTACCGCGCCCAGTGGCCGCCGACCACCGGGTGCAGTGCGACGAGGCGCGCCAGCCCCTCGCCGCCCGCGGCCTCAAATGATTGGGACCCGGCTGCATGCCCTGCAGCCGCTGCGCTCGGCGCTGCCTTTGCTGCTGCGGCACCGTCCTCAGTTGTCCTCCCGCCGCCGTGGCTGCCAAGCAGTGCGCTGTGCACTGCGGCCTCCACCGCCTGAGGGACCCTCTGCTGCTCTGCCGCCAGCCGCAGCAGCGACAGGTTGCGCCGAGCCGCACCACGCGCGCCCATCTCTCCGGCACTGCCGGGGATGCTTGTGCCTGCGGCTGCGCTGGGGCCGAGAAGTGCCTGGGTAGCTGCGCCGCAAAAGGCGGTGATTTCGCCGGCGTCGGCGGCAGCAAAGACGGAATCCAAATTATGGTACCTGTCGGTGTTGATCGAATAGCATACAAAAGAGGCCAGCAAGGACGAAAGTCCAGGCAATCTGGGGGAGAAGACATTCTCTGGTGGCATTAGCTGACTACAGCCATGCCCGGAGGGGTGGGGCGCCGTGGTGCGCAACAGACCAGGCAGGCGGCAGCTGCGTGACTGTGGCCGTTCCAAGCCTTTTGAATGGACACACTTCACACCCATTCATACAAGGGCCAGGCAAGCCGCACGACGAGATGCGGGCACTCGCGGGCGCGTATCCCCTTGAAGAGCGCACCTCTGCACCAACCGCCGCGCTGTCCGCTCGCTTACGCCCGTGCCCGCAACGCCGGCAGCCTTCTTGCCGGCAAGAGCGAGGAACGTGGGGTGGTCGGCGGGCGCGTAGCCGTGGGCGGCCTGGAACTCGGCCGCGCTGTGGAGGCGCAGGGCCGAGGGCCGCGCCTTGGAGGGGACCCCTTCCAACTCGAGCCTGCATGACCGTGGGTCACAAACAATGCAGGGGAAGGGTTGAGCAAGATGCGGGGCCCGCATGGGGTGGGGGGCGGCAGGCGGGCCGCCCAAGAAAGGATGGCAGGGGCGGTGTTGAAAAAAGCACAGGACTACGCAAAGCACGTGGACTTGTTGTCAAGAGGACCTGGGGTCTCACCAGAAGGTAGTGGGGCACATCAGCTGCTCCATGTCGCTGTCGCTGCTGACCAGGACAACTACGGGCGCCACCGGCTGAGACCGCAGCTGTCCAAAATGGGTTCGTGCGTCGTGCAATGAAGTGTGGGTTGAGGGTTGCCTTGACTGTGCAGGCAAGTGCGACACAATCCAACCACAGAAATGCAAGCACCGGCCCTGGGGCACAGAAGCAAGGCTGGAATGCAACCAGGGAGGCCCTGAACCTACCAACAGCACCAGGCCGGCCATCATGTCGTCCGCCTCAAACCTTGGGGAGGGTTGGGTTTGTTCTTTTGGTGGGGGCGGGCTGCTGCTGAATACATCTGGAGGTAGGCACAAGGCTGACCTGCAGCCGAGCCGCTGCCAGGACACAAACTGCCGGTGGATTGCATGCTCGAACATATGTTGCTCTCCCCCCTCCCCCTCGCCTCCTGCTGGCAGCAGCTGAGGCTCGCGCTCACCCCACTGCTGCATGGACGGGGACGCAGCCCTCCGCACGCGTGGCAGCGTCAAGGTGCGACCACCCAGGCAGCACGCCGGCCCAGGGAGTTGAGCGATCCGCAGAGCCTTGAGGTGGCAGGAGCGCCCCGTTGTAACACATGGGGATTGTGAGTGCGGCAGACGCACGGGGCCCCTCTCATCTGCAGTCAAGACGATCCACTGTGCCTCTGAGATGCCGTAGGAGTGAGGTATGGCAGGCACCATTCTGCTGGAGAAAGCGACAGGCATGCGGTGCACAGGGCGTGGCCACCCCACGCATCGCGCAGAAAGTTCCATCTCCCTACCCACCTGCTTGCTGCCCGCGCCCGTACCGCGCCCGGTTGTAGCCAGGGTGCAGCGTAGCTCGCGCATTGCCGCCAACTGACCCCTTATTGTCGAAAGCGACTAGAGTCACGTCGGCGTTGGTTGCGGCACGCAGGAAACGCAGCCACGCACGGAACCGCGAAGCGTGGGCGGCCGCCCCAACGCCGGCTTTGACCCCGTCACCGCTGATGCCCCGCGTGCGCGGGCGGCAGCTCATCGCGACATTTGTGCCGTCAACGATGGCAATGAGCCTGTCACTCGGTGACGCCGTGCGCAGCGCCCAGCAGCCAGGGGCGGCGGGTGCGATGCGTGGTGCGGGTGTCGGCGGGTCGGCGGCGATGGCAGCTGCTGTGGCGGCGGAAGACAGGCCATCAGTGCAAGCGTGGGCCCAGCGGCGCTGGTACGGCGACATGCGCTGCCATTGTGCCCTCTGGACAAGTACTGCACTCATGCAGCGCGCCGCCGCTGCTGCTGGGGCTCTCTTCATCTTCACTGCCTCCGGCGGCGTGCATGCAGCGATCGCCGACGCCCTGCTTCGACTGTCAACTTGGCTGGGGCCAGCTCGTCTAGCAGTCTACATGCTACGTTGTCCATATTCTTGACACATACAGACGTGTTATCATACTGTCACGGAGTGTATCCTGTACACCCGTGGCTAGTGGGTGTGACAAGCACGGGTGCCAGCGGCGGTCTCAAACAACCAGCTCACACTACAGTAAACAGACGCTCGAAAGCTTGTGAAATCCAGTCTATTGGTGTTCCCCGCCATAACCCTTGTGCTCGAGTCCCGCACTTGAGTCTGCGCAAGTGTGCGGAAGCCTATGCTTACTTGATATTAGCCAAGAAGAGAAGCATATAGGACGGCGAGGCGCCGCGTGCTGCTGATCAAGACTACCGCGTGCGCGCGCCGCTGCAGGGGCAGCAACAGCTTGAACGCCGCGGTGCCAGCCCGGCGAGAGGCGCAACAATCATGGCTGGCGGCGATGAGTTTTTCGACGAGTTTGGCCTGGCGCCTCACGAAGAGGTGCGCGCTGGTCAGGACCGGCGCCGTTGTCGCCCCGATCCACTGCGAATGGCCGCCCGCCTGCAGTGCATCGCGCCCAAATGCCAGAGCACATAGCCAGGCGGCTGCAGTTTAGCAGCCCCGCAACCGCCTGGCGGGTGCGGGCACCACAAAACGGCCGCATCATCATCTTCTCCATTCCTGCCGGAACGCCTTCAGTTCTGGCTGACCGTGGATCGCCTGCTACAACCCAGTGCACCTTGAATTGATGGACAAACACAGGTCCTGTTCTCAGATGAGGACTTTCAGCGCCTGCGAGCCCTGTTCCTGGACAACAACCTCAGGTCAGTTGGTTTGCATGGAGTTGAACCAGCCAGGCTGAGCAGGCGTTGTGACTGCTGCGCTGCAGGCCCAACAATCCCGCGTGGTTCCAGCAAGCGCTGCATCATACCGGAGCATGCAGCCAACAATTGCCATCGTGAAAAGGGGCGTCCACACACCACGCATGCCCTGCACGCCGACCCATGCACGCGCACGCTTGCACTGCGGCGCTGCTTACAGCCTTGAGGACCTCCACGCGCGCTACAAGGTGGCCCTCGAGGACATACTGAAGGCCAAGGGCCGGACAGTAGAGGTAGGCACCGACGGCGCGAGTCGATAGACGCGCCGGGCTGCTGCACCCGTGAGATGACACGCGTAGCCTTCAGGCTGCAAGCCGCCAACGCTCTGGCACCTACCCTTGAGCAGCTTGCTCAGCCTGCTGACCACTTCCCTTCCTCACACACCTGACAACATGACTCGCCCTTCTATTGCAGTGGGCCCTGGAGAACCATGCGCAGTACCCTTACTGCACTGCCTATTCCAGCCTGTCAGACCTGGACCTCATCCGCTCGGAGGCAGTGGCGGCCGCAAAGCAGTGCGGCAAGGTGCAGCCCAAGGAGGAGTGGACGCCGCCGCCGCCTGACGAGGAGCCGGAGACCGCGGCGGACTATGAGTGACCGGCCGTGCCCCCTCTGCCTCAATGTCTCATGTGTGGCAGCAGCTGAGTATGCTTATGCCTGCCGGCAGGCGGCAAATGCATCCCTGCACCATGTGAGGAACCACAGGTGCTCATTTCCTGCCGGGTCATGCCGCGCCCAGGAAGCAGCCCACGCATGCATGCAGCTGCCATTGGCACATGCAGACGGTGACTAGGACCAACCTAATCCCGAAGGCAGCAGGCTCATCATTCCAGAAGCGCTGGATGATGGATCACAAGCGCTTTGTTTTCCACCCGATGGCCAGGATCGCCACACCCTCCTTTTTTCCCTGACTGCAGGCAGGTTTTAGTCTTGGTGATATGACTCAAGTGCGACGCCGACAGCTTTGTGCGTTGATTTGCACGAATAGCCCTTTTGCGCTGTGCATAAGTGCAAGAAAGCCACAAGAATTGAGGTCCCCGTTTCTAAGGGTCCGGAAGTGCAAGTATATCAGCATGTGGCATGGTGTAACACACCCATCTGCAATCCTCGCGGCAAACTTGTTGCCACGTCAAATCCTCCATGCCCGTTGGCGTCTGAGTCGCACCGCTGGCTCTGCAAGAATCGTGTGCAGCCGCCTTGTCCGTCTGGACTGCATTGACTTGCGTGGCTGGTCTGCATGCGGTCCATCCCACCACACATTGCACTCGCTGCAAGACAGCACACAGTCATGCATTAAACTACTTATGGCTTCATGTATCACAGTGACCTCATAACCAGAGAAGGGGTTGCAATGGGTGCGAGGTCGGTCCTGTCGATGGCGTTCGGCGACTGTCACGGTCGGGCGGTTTTGACGGGCCGTTTTGTCATGGAATTTTTGCTTTATTCTTCGCAAGGAACCGAGAAGCAAGCGTAACATACTTCTGACAGCGCAGCAACCGGCGATCTGGGTGCCACGCAGCATGTGTCAGCGCTTTTAGAGCCAGCGTGCCGAACATGGCTGTGGGAATTCATGGCGGACTGGAGGACAGCGTCGCAGCAGCGGCTGCGCGCCTGGGTGCAGCAGTGCTGCACGCGTCATGCGCGCTGCTGTCGGAGCCTCTGTACGTCTCCGCCAACGGCGTTTTTGCCTGCCTCTTGGGAGGTGGGTGCGTGGCATGTTGTACACACTGCATGTATGCGCACTTTATCGCTGCTTGCTTGCTTTACAGCAGCACAGCCACCTGTGGGTACTGCAGTGCAAGCGTCGACTTTGGGGCTGCAGCGGCGGCCCTGGACGAGTCAATGCACTCTGCAGTACGCCACGGCAGCAAGCAGCGCCCGTCTTGGCATGGAGACGCCTAAACCCGCGCGCTTGCACCCGGCCCTGCACAACAACTGCAGGCGAGGAGGCCGCCAATTTGCTGGTGATGTGCCACTGTGCCACCTGCCGCAGCACGCGGCCGCTGGTGTGGGCCACATCGGCGGACGGCGCCCCCCAGCCCGGCAGCAGCTCCATCCATAGCCTTGCTGGCTGGGCGGTGCATGTGGGGCTCGCGGCGCCGGACGAGGCGGCGGACATGGGCCTGCTCGCAGAAGCTGCTCCGCAGCTGCTTCATCGCATCATGGCCGGCGAGGACGAGGATGCGGACCTGCACAAAGTGAGGGAGTGACCGGCGCGGAAAGGTCGCGTGGCCCACAAGATGTGATCTTGAGTTTGCACATCGTCACAGCACAGAGGCGCGGTGCGACCGCCGCATGCGTTGGATGGGATTGTGCATGCGTGGCGTTTCAGGCAGCCCCTCACCTGCCTCACCCCCCCGCCCCCCCGCGCAGAGCTCGCTGGCGGAGGCGCTGATGCTCCGCGCGGCGCGCCTGGGCGGCGGCCCCGCGCTGGCCGGCCGCCGCTGCTTTGTGCTCGACGTGTCGGAGGCGGCCGCTGCGGCAGAGTTTGTGCCAGCAGCCGCGGTCGCTGCACAGGGCCAGCAGCGGCAGGGCCATGAAGATGGCGTGGCTGGGCTCGACATGGAGGCAGGGGTGGCCGCGGGAGGCCTGCAGCTGCCGGTTTCCGCCTGGGTTGAGGCGCGAGCCGAGGCTTGGGACGAGGGGCAGCAGCTGCTGCTGGTGAGCGGGCCTGGGCCCAGCGAGCTTGCTCGTGAGGCGCGTTGGTGCCCCTGGGGTGTGGCTGCAAACGGGCTTTTCGATGGTTCGCAGCAGGGGCCCATGGGAGCCGGTGACTGCAGTGCAGCCATCCGTGCAGGTTGCACCAGGCCAGGGATTCAATCGCAAACCGGCTACGCGCAGCTTTGAGCAGCGCCCTCAGCAAGCAACGCGCAAGCTGCTCGTAACCCCAACCCACAAACCCTGACCTCTGGCCCAGCCCTTCCTGCCCCGCCCGGCACGTTTGCGCTACCCCTCACCACGTCTCCCCCCCCCCCACGCCTTCCTCCACAGCTCTCCATTGAGGGCCATATAGTGGGGGTTTACCTTGGAGCCTGCTGGCTTCACTGGGGCGACCACCCGCCCGCTCCCGGAGAGCTGCCCGTGCCATCTCCAGCGATCGCGCCGCTTCCGCAAAGCCTTCTCTCGCACTGGGCAGCCGATGCCGCGCCGCGCGCTGCGTCGCCGCCGCTTGCGAGAGCGCCGCCGCCGCAACAGCGGCGGCGCTCTCACAAGCGGCGTCGCAGGGGGGATGCTGGTGACTCATCTGATGAGGAGTGGGTGCCCGACGAGCCGCCGCCAGCGCCGGTCGCAGCGGCGGCGGCGGCGCCGCCGCCGCCGCCGGCGCCCGCGCTGACTCCAGCAGACGTCGCGGCCCTGCTGGCCGGCGCACAGCCTGGCGCAGGGGTGGGGACGCCAGCAGCCGGCGGCGGCCCGGTCGGTGTTGTGGAGGGCGGTGAGGTCGAGGTGCTCTTCACTTACCTGCTGGTGGGCAACGGTCGGGTGGCCAGAAGGGAAGGCTGACACGGGCACAGTGGGCGCTCTGCAGCAAGATGCATGCATCGCGCCCAGCCACGGCAGCAGGGCACCTTCAGCACGGGCCCCTCCCTACAATAGATTTTTGCCCCTCACTAGCCTGATACCGCGAATCTGCGTCCCCCTACTCCCTCAGAAGGACCCGCGCCCTATCAAGGGCTGCCACACCACCTCCATCCGCCTGCCCCGCGAGCGCTTCCTCGACCGCGCCTTTGCCGCCGACGGGCTGCCCGCCGGCCGCATGCCGGTCTGGCTGCAGCTGGACGGCCGCCTGCGTGGCGCCGGCATTGGTGGGGCCGCCGGCGGCGATGGCGGTGGCAGGGACGCGGGGTCATCCGTGGAGGTCCGGTCCGTCATCGACCCCCGGACCGGCAAGGGCTGCGGCGAGGCGCACGGGAAGATGAAGAGGCTGCTGGGGGATCTGATCTGGAAGGCCGTGATCCTGGGCTTCGGGCGCGCGCGCGGCGCGCGCGATGGGCGGGAGGGGCTGCTGCTGATTGCTGAGCGGAGGGAGGGGCTGGAGGCGCTGGCTGCTGCAGAGGCGGCGCGGCGCCAGGCCAAGCCGGGCAAGGCCGAGGGCACGCCAGCAGACGGCGGCGGGGCGGCGGCCAGTGCGCGGGCGGCTAGTCGCCCGCAGTCGGGGGCGCTCAAGCGGCGGCAGTCCGGGGCATCAGAGCTGGGGATGGATGGCGAGGGGCGGCCGTCCAAAGCTCAGAGACGCGCGGAGCGCATTCCTGTGTCAGTTGATAGAGACTCGTTTTGGTACAGCCAGGTGGGTGTGTCGTGCTTGTGGGGAGATTTATGCATGCAGACACGCCTGAGTGGAGGATGGCTGCGAGTACGAATTTCTGCCTTTGAAATACAACACATACATTCACACACGCATGCATATGCTCGCGCATGCACTCACATCTGATCAAGCACACACCCACACACACTTACACACACACACACACACGCATGCGCGCGCACGCACGCACGCACATGTGCGCGCGCACACACAAAACGACAGGCACATAGTATGTTTGTCGCGCTCACTGAGTTGATTCGGATGAATGCGTTTGCATGTGTCTGCGTGCCACTGATTTTACCTGCATGTGGGCAGCGCTGCCGACTTCATTCATGCAAGCTGATCACCCACGGCCCACGCATACTCACGCTCCCTGCATCAACATGCTTCAAAATGCAATCCATCCCGTTCACCTCGTGCACCCGCTACCAGGGCAAGCTCGTCACCGCCCTGGTGGTGCACAGCGGCCTGCACCTGCCGCGCAGCTGGGTCAAATCAGCCGGTCTCGCGCCGCCGTCCAGGGAGGCCAAGTCCAGGCAGCTGTCAGTGAGGCTGCTCGAGCCTGCAGGCTCTGGCGGCGAGACCCTCGAAGGCGACACGGCAGGGGCGGCGCAGGGGGGGCAGCTCGCAACTGGCGGCTGCAGGGCCCCGCCCGTGGTGGATGGCAGCGCCGAGGCAGTGAGCGGTGGAGCGGCGGCGGTGGAGTTAGGCGCGGCAGCTGATGCTCACGACACCACTGGGCATTTGGAGATCGCCCATGACGCGGGCGCCGCGCCCGGTGCTGACTTGGCTGCCGCTGCGCCGGCGGCCGGCGGGCCGGCAACGCTGCAGGCGACGGCGGCGGGCAGCGGCTGCGGAGGCCATGGCATGGATATTGGCCTGGCACATGAGGGGTCCAGCAGCCAGGGGCAGGGAGCCGCGGCTGAAGGTGGCAGGGACGCCAGAGGTGGTGCTGGTGCTGGCGGCGATGGTGGCAATGGTGGTGGGGCTGGCAGTGGCGTTGTGGTGGACAGGGAGGAGGATGCCGCCATGGAGGACGCACCCTTGTCACAAGCCGGCGAAGGCTGCAGCGCCCCCTCGCCTGCGCCTCCTGCCGCGCGCTCTGGCAGCGGCAACGGCGGCGGCACCACACCTGTGCCAGCGCCGGCGCAGGCAGCGGCTGGCGGCAGCCCTCCGGCCGTCCCTTCCTCGCTCCCATCGACACCGGCGGCGCCTTCAGCGGGCATGGCGCGCCCGAGAGGGCCGTGGCAGGTGGTGGCAAGCAGTGAGGTGAAGCTGACCCAGGGCATGCACACCAAGGTGGGGAGCAGTATCGCGCTGCATGGCGGGATTTTGAGGCTTGCTTAATGTCATCCGGTCCGGCAATCTTGCTATCAATGGATTGACAATTGCCGTCGTGGGGCACCAGCTGAGTGTGCTGCCTGCACAAGTGCACCGCGGCCCCCGCCAGTTCCGCCACCCGACTGACCTCCACACCATGACCACCCTGCATGTCTCACAAATATGACATCTCAAATGCAGCCAACATGCCATACGTTTGTTTCACTCTGCCATGCCCTGCTGTGCAGCACACGAGCCAGCTGCAGTACAAGCTGCAGCACAAGGCCTTCCAGGAGCTCTTCAGGGACCACGTGGTGCGGCCCCCTTGCCAGGAGCACAGGGGAAAGAGGGGCTCCGAGGGAGTTTGGTTGTGTGTGCATGAGTGTTTAGGGCATCTGCGCGTTTGTGCCTGCAAGTGTGGTGAGTGCACACATGCTGAAAGCCTGCTGGTGCAGGGTGCTGAAGGGGGCGGATAAGGGAGGGCCCAGCAAGCAGTGGTGTGAGCAGCAGCTGTGGCATGGTAGTGCATGATGTGGCTTACATCAAATTGCACCCCCTGTGAGGTTGTGCCGACTCCAGACCACCTACTCACAACACCACACCCTCTTCTAACAGGGGTGGTACATTTTGGGGGCAACCAAGTCGGGCGATGGCGCCATTGACGTGTTCATTCGGCGCCCCACGCATGAGGAGGTGCTGGCGCAGGCTGCGGCCGCGGAGGCGGCAGCGGCAGCCCATGCGGCGGCAGAGGCGGCAGCCGCAGAGGCGGCAGCGGCGGAGACGGCAGCGGCGCTCGCGGCAGCAACACCAGTGGACGAGGCTGGTTCCAATGCAGCAGGCGGCACTGGCATTGGCGGGGGCGCAGGCCAGCAGCTGAGCGAGCGGGCGAAGACTGCAGCGCCCACAACAGGGGAGGTCCAGCAACCACCTCTGGGAGGTCATCCAGCTGTGGCGGATCCAGCTGGTGCTGGTATGGTCAATTTGCAGCAGCAGGGGCAGCAGCCGCCGCAGCAGCAGGAGCAGGAGCAAGAACAGCGTGAACAGGAGCAGCAGCAGCAGCAGCAGCAGCAGCAGCAGCAGCAGCAGCAGCAGCAGCTGCAGGAGGAGGAAGAGCAGCAGCAGCAGCAGCAGCAGCGGCCGCAGCAACAGCAGCAGCAGCAACAGCAGCGGCAGCAGCAACAGCAGCAGCAGCAGCAGTCGCATCCGCACCCACTCTTCATCACGCCGCCGCCTCCGGCGCAAGTGGCACCCATGGTCGGCGCTCCGCCCCCCGCAGTGCCGTCCACCAGCGGCACGATGGTCGGTGGCGCCACCACCGCTGCTGACGCCCTGGAGGATGGCGGACAAGTGTCAGCCGCGCTGCGCGCCCTGCAGCTGCCAGAAGCGTCCGCAGGCCCCGGCGATGCTGATGCGCTGCGTGCGGCGGCGCTTGTCGCGGACAAGGGGGTGGCTCTGGCAGCGGCAGCGCTGGGCTTGGACCGGCAGGCACAACGGGTCGTGCTCAAGGCATTCGCCCTGGCGGCGCGCGACCCAGACCGTAGGCGGCTTGATTTTGTCTTTGTGCTCTGCTTAGTAGGGATGATTGGCGTGTCCATTGTGCACGGCATGGCGTTGCGCGCATTGGGGTTCGAGCCCCTTGCCGGTTGCGCCGCCTTCCCTGCCTGCTCCTTGCACAGACCCCTCTCTGCTGTGTCGTGTTACGCGCCTCCTTTCAGCCTGGCCCCACAAGCCCCGCCTTCCAATACCTCGCAGCAGCCCCTCCTTGCACCTCTATCTGGACGACCCAGCGCCCAGTCCCCCCCTGTCATCCCCCTACCCTGCCCTCTTAAAGGCCGCTGGAGCCTGGTGGCATTCGACTACCGGGACCTGCGGCAGGCGTGCGCGGAGGGCGATGCAGAGTGGGCGCGGGACATACTGGCCGGACTCTGACGCAGGGCGGTGGCTCTGTATGCATGCGCGTGTCTAGCTCCGCCGTCTGCTTTTTGCTGCGTGTTCAATAGCCTCGGATGCCCTCCTGGGCAGACCTCATGCGCGCCTGAGGGCCGGCCCAGGGCCGTCTGTTTGTTCACGGGCGTCAGGCTTTAGCCCCTGGGCCGTGCCTTGTCAGTTGGCACGTTTTTGGGCTGAACACTGCAATACGTGTCAACACGAGCCCCTCACTGTATCAGTCAGGTTAGTTTGGGCTAACCGCCCGTCGATCGTTTTGCGATTGTGCTGTCGTCACAGCCGGGGGCCCCTGAACTGCCCACCATGTAACGCGTATGCTCTTGCC